AACACCAGTAGCCCAGTCTTGGACTGAAGATTCAGAAGTAGTGCTACAGAGAGGGACACAGGATGGTGCCCTGCACTCCAACAAGAGTAGTCTCTTCTAGTCATTAAGAACACAGCACAGTTTGGATGAGGCTCCTGCTAGCTCTTACAACAAGGAGAGCAATCCCACCCAACAATTCAGCTTTCCATGCTTCTCGTCCTTTGCGTTTGTGAGGCAGCCTGCCTTAGCACCAAGTCACCGTAAGCCCTGCGGTGCCAGAGCAGCAGGCTGCAGGGAGCAGGTAAATGGCTTGTGCCTGAGGTCCAGCATCACATCCCACCCACTTCTCCTACCAGCCACCACACTGTGGCCAGGGCAGCCTTCACCAGCAGCCCTATGGCTGCACAGATGGGAGGGAGCTCCAGGTCCCTGGCTGTGCTCACACCAGGCCACCCCCGTGGCTGGGCCAGCCACCAGCACCAGGCCTGCTCCCCTCCCTCCTGTGCAAGACGCTGCCTGCTCACCTGCTCTCTTACCCCATCCAAAGCTCCTGTTGGTATGTACTACAGCTGCTTCCCAACAGGGGAGATGTTCCCTCCCTGACTGATATTTCCTTTGCAACGAGAGGAATGCAGCAGGAACTGGACTCTCCGTGTGTCAACACCAGCAGCTCAGCACCTCCAGGGGTGCTGGGACTCCTTCCAAGATCTGCGGATCGCTGCTGTTATCCCAGAGTGTGAATGTCACTACAAATTTCAAACTGCGCTGCACTTAGTGCAGAGCCTTCTGTCAGATCCACACTCGTGTTATTTTCAAGTTACAGATAACAGATAAATACAAAAAGTCTTCCTGAAGCACTGCTGGACATCACAGGGGGTTTGGACACTGAAGTTCAGATGCAGCACTTGGAGGGAGTTCCCCTTCACTTAGGGGTAGGGAACACAGAAATTACAATATTGTTTCTACTACATTTAGAAGTCTAAGGCAAAGAGGAAAGGAACCAAACCAGCCATTAAAATGGCGTTCTTGACAGACAGTGGCAGAAGGGATGAGAGGAGAGGTAGTGAACAAGCTCACCAGTGTCTTGCATTCAAAGCCTTCTGCACTGGATCATCAAATTAATTGGTTTGATGTGTTCAGTGCAGTTCGGCCACCGAAGAACCAAACACAGGAAAGTAGGAAGCTGTAGTTTGTGTACAACTTGAGAAATGTTGGCAGCACTTGGAAGGGTGGGGGGAGCAGGTATGGATGGACCAAAGAGGCAGCAGCTCACAGCAGAGCTGAGGGTGAGGCAAGAAGGATGGCAGCTTGGCACAGGGTGGAGGCTTTGGGGTGAACTTGAAGGGAGGACTTAAAAGGCAGAAAACCACATACAGCTGCACAGGGAAACTGCCCTCTACTTCAGAGGTTTTAATGCAGATGGTCTTGCTGCAGCATTTGGTGATTTATGGAAACTCAATATGATGCCTAAGTGTCAGTAACTGCCACGTTGTCTCATGCTCCCTAGAATATAAAGACTCCATGCTTTATCTCTTTCTCTGCAGGAATCCATGCCGCTGATCAAATATGAAGATTCACCACAGAAAGATACAAAACAGCCTGGGGAAAAGACTTCCTTTCACCAGCAGATTCATTCACAGAGATCTGCCACGGCACATAAGGGAGCCATTGTTTCTGGAATAAAATCTCCATTTGAGCTCTCTACTTTGGCCATGATCAATGGGAGGGAATTAAAGTCTCATCCCAGGAAAAAAATTAGTTTGCTGACACCGTGTTGAAAGATGGGGTAATGGAGACACAGACAAGCGTGGGCACCCGCAGCACCTCTTGGGGAGCTGGAGAGTGATGGAGTTAAAAGCCTGCAGACAAAGCTCCCCAAAGTCCAGCAGAGCTTATCCCAGGAGAGACAGCCAAACCAAGGGCTAAGGTTTGCAACAGGAACATCAGCACTAAATGGAACTTCAGCCCCAGTAACTTTGCATGGTTCTGCACTGCTGCCCTACAGAGACCAGGGGAACGCTCACAGCTCCTGCCTTCCATTCGTCCTCTGCACACCTTCCCACCTCCAACACGCACGCCAGAGGAAAACTCAAATTCCCTGCTCTCACTGCTCAGTGACATTAAAAGGTCTTTTCCCCCCATCCACCATGGGAGGGATTTAAGCCCTCCAAACCGAGTCCGTTTCCATCACAGCCATCACAACACAATGCCTACTTTTCCCTGCCAACAAGAGACAAACTAAATGCCACAGGCTGAAAACGCAGCGTTTGCTGCTTGGACGCTGCACCGGTCCGAGGCCTCGGCCTCGCATCCGTTTCACCAGTAAGAGCAAACAGGAGATTAAAAGCTATTTGCTGCCCTCTTCTGAGCAAACCCAAATTGCGTGTCGGTATGGGACACGGCTCCAGAACGATCCCCGAGGTAGAGAGAGCTCTCCCTCCCTGCAAAACGAGCGACAGCGTACGGCATCAAGCAGCTGTGGCGGCGGAGCTTAGGAGTAATCATCAGCTGTGACAGACGGGGACGGCAGATCAATCCATGAGGTCTGAGCCGTGTGTTATCCACAGGGCATTCTTGGCATTTGGGTTTCATAACTCTCGGGCTAATCCCCTTGTGTGGAAATAAAAAGAAATTCCTCCCGGTATATTCTGTTCCCTGCCGTCACAAACATTTCAGAATAGGAGTAAACCAGGAGACATGCAAAGAAATGGGAAAAAATGGCTTTTGGATTTAAAGAGAGTGATTTTATGGTTGTTTTGTTGTCGTTGTTTGTTTGTTTGTTTGGATTAAAACCACTCAAATCTCTCACATCTTACAGCAGAGCTTTGCCCTGTTCTTCCAAGGAATATTTCTCTTTATCCAGATATACAGTACGTATATACATACTGCCTTCAAAACAAACCTTAACATTGCAATCTGCTGCTTTCAAAGCATTTATTCAAGATAACTAATTATTCATAGAAACTTATTAAATTAGACACTGTGCTCTACTCTACAGACTTACAATACAAACACCTGTGAGCCTGAGGGAGCCTCAGTTTTCATATGCAAATGCACAATAAAAGTAAAAATAATTTTTTTCCAAACACTTCTGAAATAGCTCTCCTCCCATGTACCCTGGGACAGGCAAGATGCTCCATGATGCTGAATCATCACTGCTTTTCTTGGCACTCCCTGGGATGCCCTGCATACGTAAACACTGAAGGGAAATCAGGACTTTGAAGGCCAGGTAACCCCAAATTAATGACCATGAAAAATGTATTTCATAATTTGTAAGCAGTGCAACGAATCCCAGACCAGGCTGCCATCAAGGCGACTACTGAGTGTTTCACTTGGGCACACAGAGCGCACACAGCTGTGACAATGTGAGACTGGAACATGCCATTCTTCTCCAGGACTTGGTTCCACAGGATCTCCAAGCACTGCTTCGTTTCTGGCTGCTGCACAGAACAGGTCTATTTATTTCAGTGACCAAGCCACGCAGTGGAAGGTAACAAATTGTTCTTTATGTGTGCATTTTATCCCACAGATGAGGGTGAAACATCAAAGTCTGTTTAAATCAACAGGGATAAGGTCGCAGATGTCATGTGAACCCAATCAAATTGTGAGCAAACACCTGCAGCAACCCTGAGGCAAAACATAACCACTATCACCAATGTTAGCATGCTTGGGTGTTGGATTGGCATTGATACCATGAAGGGATTTGCAAAGAAGCTTAAATAGCCTCCACCTACCTTTGCCCTCTTTCACCAGTTTCTCTTAGAGATCACTGTGCAGCCTTGGACAGCCCCTCCATTTAGAAAGAAAGCCAGAGCTCCCTTCAGCAGCAGCACAGCAGATTCTCCTCAGGCCAGCAGGGCAGGAAAGCATCTGTGACGAGCAGCTTTCCTAGCCAGGAGAAGCCAAGGCATGCAGCCTCCAGATTTATGGATTATAATGCTGCCACGGCCTACAAATCACTCTGCATTCAGTGTAATTCATTATCACACTGCTATGGTTGGTCACATTCTTTGCAGGTGTAAAAGATGCCAAAAGGGCTTTTTACCTTTCTTGTGCCAGAATTTAATGATATACAGTCAGGACACCGGGAAGCAAAACTGAAGGCAGCGGTTGTTCTGCCCCTGTGGGCACATCAAGTCCTGAGGGCTCCCCAGCGCCCCAGAGCACCTCCCATAGCTGCTCCCAGCCCAGCCCCGCTGCCAGCGCACGCCCAGGTGCCGGTAACGACATCCTCTGACCCAGGGGAATTCAGCTAAAAATCTGCAGGCAAACCCGGGGATTCGTTCTGGCACATGAGCACAGTCTGCAGCCGTACTGGAAAACCAGACCGTTTGTCCCAGACTTTGCGTGGGACTTCAACAAGGCAGACAGCACAGCTCCAGGAGCAGCACGGCCGACCCAAGAGGGTTGTGGTATTTCTTTGTACAGCTGAGCCTTGATTACGGAAAAGCACACCTGGGAGGAACCAGCCGCCAACGCAGGCTTTTTGTTCCTATGGAAAGTTAATTCCTCAGAAGTCATAATAATAAAAGTAACGCAAGCGTACTTAACAAGCAGAGATCTGTCAGGGCCTCACCTTCTCTCCACGGCAGCGGCCGCCACGGCCGAGCTCCGCCCGGGGGCGCTCACCTCACGCCGAGCTCTCCTCCTCCTCCGGCCGCTCCGCGCCGCTCCCCGCTCGGGGCTCCACGGCGCTGCCCGGCGCGGTGCTTCGTCCCGGAGCCGGGCACGGACCGCCGCGGCAGAGCCGCTCCTCTCCTCGGCCACATCGCAGCGGGCGGCCCGGCTCCTTTCCTCCGCCTCGCCGTTCTCCTGCAGCGGCCCGAAGGCGTGACGAGGCTGCGGGCGGCCCCGCTCAGGGCAGCCGTTAGCGGCCGTTAGGGCTGGCGCGTGCCGGCGCCTCGTGCCCCTTCGGCAGCGCGAGCAGCCGGAGCAGCGCCCGGCACGGCGCCTCCGCCCAGCTGCAGCTGCCTTGGAGCGAGGCGCGAGCGGGAGGCCGAGAAGATGCCGAGCAACGCCACTTACAGCGCAGTTCACCTTTATTTTATTCCATTATGCTTCGCTACAAAAACGATTCGGAGGCCGGTGAGCAGCAGCGGGCAGGTGCACGGCAGCGCAGCGGAGGCTCAAAGCCGGCTCCGCGCGGCGCCGGGAGCTCCGTAGGAACGCGGGGCGCGTTGAACTCAGTACTAAAAACCAGCAGGACCGAGGAGAAAGTTACAAAATACGCGGGCAGGAAGAAACACCCGTTCTGTTCTGCTCTGCTGGCGGAGGCAGCGGAAACCTGCTGTCGCTCAGCCAGGGCGAGCGAGGCGGTCCTGCACCGCGAGATGCGTTCCTCCATCATCCCGCTCACTGCTCACCTCTGCCCCGGCCTCACACAGAGCGACCACGAGCACAGGGAAAGCACGGCTGAAATACCCAGCGCGGATGGATGGAGCACTGCACCCCAGCAGCTCGAGCGCTGCCACGGTCATTCTGCTTGATGCAGTTTATGGTTTCCTTGGGCAGAAACAGAACTGCTTTCAGCAATTCAGCAAAAGCAAAGCAATGAAGACCATGCTGAAGCGTTCAAAGCAGTAAGAAGCATAAGATCTGCTCCCTGGAAACAGAACAAGTGTCTGATCAGTTCCAGGTCCTGCTGCGGGCTGCAGTCAGGGTCAGACGCTGCACTGAATGTCCCCTCTGGGTCTCGTACAGCACCCGATTTCGGCACAGCAACACCCGGAGCAGATGGGACCCCTCACTCTTACAACTCTTATTGCTCCTGTAGGGACTGGGTATCTGCATGCTGATACAGATCCCAGGTGGTGCTCCGGGCTTCAGCAGTCATTCTCCGAAATCTCTGCAGGTAGATAATGATGAATATGACCAAGATAACCTGGAGGAAAAGGAGGATGATGAGAATGAGTTGAGAGAAGAAAGCCAGGGTGCAGTACCAGTACTGGCACGTGGAGATGATCTCATCTTCTGCCAGATAAGCAATGACCCGGTCCTGAAGGTGAGCTGGGGAGGCACATCTCACATCCCTGTAAAAGGTCCGGTTCTGCTGCCACTGCAGCCAGGAGCGCAAGTAGAGGATGTCACAGTTGCATTCCCAAGGGTTGCCCTGCAAGTGCACTGTTTGGAGGCTCTTCAGATTATCAAAGAGCCCGCTGGGAATAGAGGTGAGCCTGTTGTAACTGAGGTTGATAATTTCAGCCGACGGCCGGAAAGCCACTGGTAGTTTTGTTACAGTTAGGCCTTTGGACATACAGTCAATAATGTTGGTGGCACACTTGCATGGTGGAGGGCACGTAGGTATCACAAATGGGAGGAAGCAAAGGAGGGACAAGAAGAGAATCCTACTGTTCATCTTCACCTGCAAACACTCCCCCAGTGAGAGTGGGTGAGGTGGAAGTCAGGCAAGTAGACACCACGATCTGTAAGACTATAGAGATCTGAAAAGAACAGAGTTAAAAAAGGTGTTGTGAGAACTCTTGGTCTCTCATTACAGGAGCAGGAATGCTCCTGGTCTTTCCAGCCCTGAGGGGGTTATGAGCTGATTGATGCTGGATTTAGCTGCTGCCACTGAATTAATTTCCACTCATCTTCAGAAGCATTTAAGAGTTGCTGATACTTTCAGCATTACTGCATAAGCATTACTAGGTTTGCCAAGAAAACTGATGACAGGAAGTCATCAGAATATGAAACTTATCATAGCTCTGAGATACATCTGTAAGCAAAGCTTTATTCATGCAAACTGCAAGAGAAGATTCAGAAATAAATGTACTATTACCACAAGTTTAAAATAGTTTTCGCAGTTTTGAATGGACACGATAAAATAGTCCTTAGCAAACACAGGGTGCTGAGCTCTGAGGGAGGAAATCCCCAGAATTTTCTATACTGGACACTGTTCCAGCAGACACATAATCTGGAGCTGTGTCCTTTCTGAGGGGCAAGGGCCAGTGATACAAAAGAGGTATTGCAGCCTCATGCCACCTCTGAACACAAACTTTTTTAAGAGAACTACTGCACGTGCCTGCAACAAGGCACTGTTTTCCATGCAGTCAGCTGAACGAAAGAGGGGGAAAAGAAAGAACGAGCAGAAGGTAGTTTGGTTGACTTACCGAGGTAGATCAATCCTTGCTTGCTTTCTGCCTTTACAGTACATACAACAGAAAGGTCTTAAGGCAGTGCAGTTTTTGCAGCTGCATAGCTGAGCTCCCAGATAATCCCCTTGCAGCTGGCTCACAAGATAAGGGTCAGGCTCATCCCAGGGACACCTCCCATATGAGGCCTTCCTGCAAGTCTGCTGCATGCCACTGGAAGCAGAGTCTTCATTAGGCAAGTCTTCCAAGAAGTGGGAGCTGGCCTGGCTACAAAAAATGCTTTTGCTGGCAGAGATGCTGACAGCAGCAATAACTGCGATGCTGCTCTGGGTAACAAGTAGCCAAACGGAGCACTGAATTCAGGTATGGCAGCAAACTACAGTGCCTGGATGCTTCCTTATTCTACAGACAAAATATCTGCAGGGTGAAGACTGCCTCTCACTACTGTAAGTGGCTGAGAAGGGCTTCCTCCACGTTTTCTCAGTTTGGAGCCTTTGGCTCTTGGTAATACAAAAGAAAAAAAAAAAAAGCACAGCTGTTAGCCCGTGCCCAGTTAACAGCCAGCTAATGCATTCATATGCACCCTTTGAGGAATCCAGTGCTTCCAAGTGCCCTGCTTTATCCTCTGGCCCTTTGGAACAAGCTAATAGAACCATGTAGACCAAACAAGGAGGTAAAAGAGGACACCATTCCAACAGAAACAACACAAAGTCTCAAGAGAAAAGTAGTAATTCCAAATGCACTTAAACCTGGAAGCTGATGTTACCAAATTGTACTGCAGTCCCTGAGCTTTATGGTCTTTGGTTTCCATTTTATCACAAAGGCTGCATTTGCTGAGTGGCGATCCCTAGCACTTATCAGTGTTTTGTCCCTGACGTTTCTCTTCAAACAGTGACAGGTCTACTCCTAATAAGCAGTGGGACATCAGCTGAAAGAAACTGCTCTCCAGTGATCCTGCTGGTGTTGGTAATTGAGCCAAGGAGAAAGTCCTCCGAGTGCTTCCATCCTCTCTTGACTGCTAGAGGTAACACACAGCTCTTGTCATTTCACTGTCTGCACCAAAATAAAGCTGACTGGCTCCACAGGAAGGATGACAGGCTGGGGAAGATAGTGCTCCAAGGGTCTGCTCTTTTGATAGGCTGAGTGAGTTGTCAGCACTCAGCAAGCATTACTGAGAAAAACTGACCACATCCTTCGTTCAGAAGTTGCATTATTTAAATACTTGAACAATCATTTGTTCAACTTATGTACAAGGGTCAAAAATATACTCAGGACATTTCAGCAGCATCTTATCTTGTCAAGGTTCTTACACTTTCACAGACATTTTTCTCCCATAGGCCAGACTCTAAGCATTGGCTATGCTAGAGGCTAAGGCCACCAGAATTACTTTCTTGTTTCTGCTCAGCTTCAGAATGTGAAACACTCAGAATGAACACTGATATTAGGACAGTTTGGGCTGCAAACAAAAGTAGAATTTGGCCCTAACCAAGGCATAGTATATTTGTGATGCTCTAAACAAAATAATTAACCTTTAGATTTCTAGTAGGTTGGAGCAGATCATTCCAGTTGTTTCACTGTGGCAGGCAGACAGAGTAGGAAAGGGATCCAGGGGTAACAAATGAACCCACTTTTTCCTGCATTCTACCTGGAAGAAGCTCAGCTACAACAGAGAAAGTTCGCTCAGCACGTCCACACCTCACGCATTTGAGTGCTACTTTCTCTCACAAGCAGCTCTCAGGCCAGCTGTGGCATGGAGCCGATCCAGAGCCTGGCTGGCTCTGCACACAGCACGGACACAGCAGCGCTTCTTTGGTTACTTACTTTCCTGGGATTGGATCCCACCAAGCCACCCACTGCCAATTTACACAGCTTCTGAGGGGAAGCTTAAAAGTAGGAGAACTTCGGGATCAGCTTGTCTAGCCTCTGACATAAGCACAGTCCAGAAATCACGTGCCTGCCTGCAGCCTGCTCTGACGGAACATAATAAAAGGACAAACAGTCCTTCTGTCCTCTCCTGTCCATAATGCATCATCGATGCTGCTGAACAAGACTGAAAGTCAAACAAAAATAGGTTGTTCTTTTGAATGTATTTATTTCACTGATCAGTTCAGGTAGTAAACATTATTAATAATAACAATGATCATTTAATAAAATGGATATGTTTTAAAAGGTTTCTTTTTTTTTTTTTCTCCACAATGACAAAATGTTCAAACAGAAATTTACAAAAAATATATTATAATAACCTAACATGACAGACGGGAAACAAAGAGCTTAGGAGTGGAGCGAAGGGTGAGGAAGTCATATGGTAGAAGCAAGCCAGTGTTACAGCAAGCATGGCTGGGTTTGTGAGAAGGAGCAGGGAATGCCATTGCACAGCACAAGAAGTGAGAGCCCCTCCTTCTCTAGCAGGAGGCATGCGGGGAGGCAGCAGGAAGGACCGCACAGGCAGGGCCAGCACAGCAGCAGCACACAAGGAGTTCATGCCACGGCTCCTTCCCCAGTCAGGCAGATGGGCTGAGATGGTGTTACCAGCAGGACAGACCGCTCTGCTGAGCAGGATGCAGCCCCTGCTGTTGTCTAGCTTGGCTGGGCAAAGCTTGGCAGAAGTGTGAGAACGTACCTGGGGGTGCAGGGGTTGCATTGCAGACTATGGAAGCTGTGTGCAGGGGGAGGTGTTAGATTGCCTTCCTATCCACACTTCTCACTGCCAAAATCAAACGGCTGAGCTGCACTTATTCTGGTCTATCTTCTCAGCTTATTGTGCAGCTCAGTGCAACAGTACAAAACAGCCCTCATTTATAAACAGGTGTCACCTTCTAAGCCAGTCCAGGACCCTGATGCCCTCCAAAATCAATCTAATCCACTTCCAGGCAGCCCCCCAACTCTGATGCTCTGGGCAGGGAACCTTCTATACAGGACATAGATCTCAGTACCTCTGCCCATCTGTAGAAGCTGTAGAGCCTCACTCCTATGTGTTTTGAATAAGAGCAGCTCAAACCGTCTTTGCCAGCTGGTAGCTGAAGAGTTCAGCGCTGTAGAGAACACAGCTGCCACTATTAACTTGATCTAGGAGCCATGTGCACTGAGCTGATGGAGACTTCCCTCACCCGGAGGGACAAGGCAGATGCACACTCAGGCAGTCCTGTCTGCCTGTGACTAGACACTGTGCTCTCACCAGCACGCATGCTAATGCATGCACATGCTATAGAGTAAAGGTCTGGAGTTTTGTTGTTATTGTTGTTTTTTTCCCTGGGAATCAATCTATTTTAAAGAGCACTATCTCTAGCTAAACAGGGCTCAAACGTAACAGAACATCCTAACAAGCAAGACTTGTGAGAAAAGAGAGGGGACAGGTACTGCAAAGTGCTTCCAGTTACACTAGCATGGATAAAGTTGAGAACTCAGCATTCCCCCTGCTTCCAGCAGCTGCAAACCAACCCCAGAAAACCTCTAGAAAGCTCCTACCTCAGACTACTCCATTGCTCAGGCAAACGCACTGCAGGAAAAAGGTTGTATTTCCTCCTTAAGCATCTGTTACTGCGCATGTTACTAAAGACAAGCTGAACCCATTCCCTCTCCTAGGCTGGCACTTCCACTGTCCCTTATGAGCTTGACACAGAGGAGAAGGAAAGAAAAAAACACTGAGCCAGAAGAGCTGCCTGCACCCCTGTCCTGCTGAGCTTATCCTCACTTCCTGACTCCCAAGGCTGCAGAAGGCTGCTTAGGAGAGACTTGCCTTGGACACGGCTCTTACTCAGCTTGCACGTTCCTGCCAGTGGGCTTCCACTCCTGCTCTGTCCTTCCACAGTGTCAGGATCTCTTTCCTTCCTCTGCAGCCCATGCTCTGGTTGATCAGAAGCTCCATACAGGGAATAACTGGAACCTGCCTCTGCATCTCCTGGAAAAGCCCTGATCAGAGCTCTAAAGCTCAACAGGGAGAATCAGAGAAACACAGCACCAATAAACAGAATTTAGGGTTTGTGTATTCCTGGACAATACTGTGCTTTGTGCACAGGGAGATCTACTGTAAAAAGCCAGAGATGTGGGAACTGACACAAATGGAGAATGGGAGCAGAGAAATTAGGCTGGCAGCCAAAGGAGCAGAAGGGCCCATCCCATGGTAGCACTCCCTGGACTGGAGGTAAGAGCCAAACGCCTCTCCTTCCAGCAGCCCCTGATTCCCTGCGAGCGCGGCAGTGTTGCTGGTCAGTCCTGCCCTGTTAGGCACATCACACTCTGGAGCTCTCCTCTGGCTGTGCTAAGAGCTAAAAATACTGCAAGAAACAGAAATAGGACAGAAGTTGCTGCCCAAAGAGCGCTCTTATCTCTGCCCAGCAGATCCATCGCCTTTCCCAGCACTGAGACAGAAAAGAGGCAGGGAGAGGAAGAAAGGTTGTGTCCCAGGGGAAGGGGAAGTGCCAAGTCTGCTGGGATGCACTCAGCCATGTACAGCAACATTCCTGTCACCTGCCACACTGACCTACACAGCACCCGTGCCACCTCCTGCTCTCTGCAGCAGCCTGTCTGGCCAGGCAGATCTCTGGTACAGGCATTAGAAACTGCCCCTTTCCTTAGGAGAAGCTCAGAAATGTGGGCTGCTACCAGGCTTTCAGCCCTGAGTGCTTCTCTCCAAAGCAGGCCCAGCCAGGAACTGCAGCTGCTGTGGTGCTCCTCATTGCAGGCACTGGAGATTGAACAGCTGGACAGTCAGAGCCACGCCATGAATACCGTCACCCAGCTACTGCTGGCGCTGTGCTTCCAGCTACAGTGCTCCTGTCAACCCCAACCCCATAGGTTGAGAGCAGGGCAGGCAGGCTGAGCAGGTGTCCACTCCCATCATCTCTCTTCCTCACAGGCAGTCCTCAACAACTCATGCTCTCTGCCAGAAAGACACAACTGAAGGCAGTGGAAGCTGTTTCTTTTAACAAACCTTGAGAGACTCAGTTCCCTGCCACTCAGTGTAAAGATCTGGGGTTTCTTGGTAGGAATAACAAACCTAATCAACCAATTGGAAAAAAGCAAAATAACCTGGGCAGACAACCAGCAGGACCCCTGAGCAGCTCAGTGCACACAGAGCCCCCCAGCCCTGCACTCTGGGCAGCACAGCTTGAACTCCCAGGAGGGAATGGCTGCCTTGACCACAACTGTGCTGGCCCCAGACAAGGGGAGCAGGGGAGGGGGCACAGCACCTCAGTCAGGAGTAAACATTTATGTGCATTGACACAGATATTCTTCAAGTTCGTACACCAGAGAAACCAGGACTTTAAATACTAGAGCATTCCCAAACAAGAGATTAGTACATGGAAAAGGGAAACCTGTTTCTTCTTTTTCTTTCTTTCTTTTTTTAGGATGCCTTAGAGACTCCCTAGTCTATTTTCCCTTAAAAAATATATATAAAATAAAATAAAAAAGGAAAAAAAAGAAAGAATTATTAAAAAAAGAAATACACATCAGTAAACAGTTAGGTGAACAGCCTTCTCCACAAACCAGCTGGCTGCAAAGCCAGCCTTGCTGCTTTTAAATAAATTAGAGGATGCAAATGCAGCTCTTGCCCACAAGTCTCTATACAATGGGAAACCTCTTTTCAAACATCCACAGCTCTTGGCAGGCCTCAGATGGTCGCTGGGGGTTCCCTTTGCCCTCCAAGTACCTGCATCTCACTGATCCTGCATCTGCTGCTGCATCTTCTGCAGCATCTCTTGCATCCGCCGCAGCTGCGTGAGACAGAGAAGAGACAATCAACCAGGAGCCCGTGGTGGTGGGAGGCAGGAGTGGGAAGCACCAGGAGAGCCTGTGTGGGGCAATCCTGGAGAAACATGTCAGATTCCAGCACTAAGAAGGCCCAGGCAGAAATGGTTCTCACCTCCTCATCCTTCATCTTGATCAGTTTCTCCGTCTCAGTGTCTGGTGTTGGGAGAGGCAGGATAGGAATGGGGCTTTCTATCCTATTGTCCTGAGTCAGTTTGCTAGAGACAGAGAGGGACAAAACGCAGTCAGTTATAGCTCAGGATGGCTGGGCCACGCACAGTGCCTGTGGGGAGTCCAGCAAAGATGTGTAGGGTGCATCCAGGTGCAAAATGAGAGTACAGCCAACAAAAGTTCTCCAAATAGAAGTTCCTGGGTAACTACCAGAGAAAACTCAGTCCAGGCTAACACTGAGGGAAAACACATACACAGGGGGAAAAAGGAAGATGATTTCTGAAAGTCAGAGGAGCCTTTGTAGAAAAGCTGGAAGTTCAAATTAGCACTTTCGGGCTTTCACCGCTCGGAGTCGCTGTTTGCTCCTTATTGAATCAATTCCAGCTCTGCAGTTTGGTACATCCTCCCCCCCAGAGTTTCTCTTACGAAACCTTATCCCACTGACAGAAATGGCCACAGTGTTTTCCCAGACTTCACTGGTAAGGGACCGGCCACTGCGTGAGAAATAGCATCGAAGTTGTAAGCATCTCTTTAGCTAAGCTACTGCTTTTTTATCACACTGTTCTTTTAATAGACACATAGCCTGTCTAAATAGCAACTGTGACACTTCTCACAGACCTCTAGCATTTCAGATACTTATTTTGGGACTCCATATTATCACTGTTGAAAAAAACAGGCTCTTCTGCGATGCAAAAGCACAGGGACGCACTGTGTGGGAACAGAGCATGCCAACTGCACACCTGCACACACACAGGGTGCTCCCTGCTGAGGTGCAGCTATTCCCACTCTGCCATGCAGCAGCACAGTCACCCAGCCATTTCAGGCAGCAAGTGAAAGGAATGATTCACAACAGAGGAGCCCAAATCCACTTAAAACTTGTCATCAATGTTTCAGTCTTTCTAGTGCAAAGCCCATGAGTGTTTTCTGATCTCCATGATTAAAATCAGAGAGAATAAAATGCAAAGAAAGTCAAAAGCAAAGAAATTTTTGGAGATGCGTAAGGCGCTTGCTAATTGCTTGGGCTCTGTTGTCTGAGAAACGGCAGCACCCCAAGGGTCACACTGTCTTCTGGATGGAACCACAGTTGGAAAACACCTCCCTCTTTAGCAGCGCACACAGTTTTCATCTCCACCAGGGAGACAGTTTAGCCCACGTTTCATTAGGCTGGATGTATTTCAGCCATCGATAGGAACAGCTCTTCTAAAGAGCATTTTTCTCCAGGCCTATTTCCCAAGATCCATGCAGGACTCATTGAACAGGATCAAGGATTCTCAGCAACATCCCTGCTGTAATCTCAGGCTGTGGGAGACAAGCTTGGATTTGCTATTTTACTTTCCAGTGCCATTTCCCATACAAGCTCTGAGAGTAACCCCAGCTCCGCAGAGAACAGGATTCCTCTGCCACTCCTAAGCAGGGCGGTAGGGACCCACCTGGTCATTTGCTGGATGCACTGAGCTCGGTAGTTCTCATAGTGGACATCACAAGTGACATCCTTCAGGTCATGCATGTGTGTCCGGATCAGCATATTCCGCAGCTTCACAAAGTCACAGTGTGCCTGATTTTCCACTACAGAAGCAAGAACAGATGAGCACCTGGACATCACACCTCACCAGCTCCATTCAGGGAGTCCCTTCTCACCTCCCAGAACCCAGGCCTGAAATAGAATTTACCCAGGACCCTTTCCCCATCCTGCCCCCCTCTCCCACTCCCTGTGCCAAAGACTCTCCCCTAGCCTTGGCACAGGCCTCAGTGATGCTCTGTGCCTGTCAGCCTTGAGGCCAGGCTGCTGAGGTCATTGTGTTCCCAGAACTTTTTCTGGGTAAGAGGATTAATTAAACACATATAGTAGAGCCTTGAGAGAGGATGCTGCTCCCAGATACATAAGATGTCATTATTACACATTATTACATTATTATTATGGGCAGCAACTGCTAGAGACAAATCGGTCATTCTCTCAGAATTTCAGATTGATTGTAAGGCCACTATAGGCAGGGTGGTTTCCAGTAGGAAACTTGAGTCAGCCCCTGAGGAGCAAAGCTACCAGCAGGCAACAGTCTGGAGAGCTGAAAGATTGCTGTTACCAAGGACGGCCAGGCCCCAGGGAGCCCTGGGGACTCTGGGGGGAAGTGCTGCACTTGGTAGCTGTGTGCTTGATTTGGCAATCTCTGTTTACCTCTCTGAAGGACTGGGGGAAGCTCTGACAAAACTCATTTCTGCCAATTACCAGCATTCAGACATGTACAGCCCACTCCAGAGCCAGAAAGAGAAAAGAGCCAGCAGCTGGGCATCCCAAGCAGCTGGCACCAACCCACAAGCAAACACACAGGGTTTTGGGACTGAAAATTGCAAGACCATAGAGCAGTGTGCCAGTACAGGGGTGTCAGCAATAGCAGCAAAAGCCATTCCAAGGTTATTAGGGACTTTGTGAAATCTCTCCCTTTAGAAGAGGACACAGTCAGAGTGTCAGCTTCCAGGCACTGCGCTTACCTTCCACAATGCCCCATGGGTACAGACGTCCACGGACTCGCTGGCCTTTAGCTTCTACCACTGTGTTGCTGCCAATGACAGCAAAAGGAGCACTTTCCTGGAAAGAGAGGTGATGCTGAGCTTGTGGTCGTCAACGGATTCCTCCTCCAAGGGCCAAGCTCAGGCAGAGAACAGGAGAGGAAGGGAAAGACACAGTGACATCCACGCATGCATGGGACACCACAACACAATTACAGAGAAAAGCCTCAGGCACTGGGACCTACAGGTGGCTCGATTCCCAGCCTGACCTTCTCATGCCATATAACTCAGCCTTCTTCTCAAACATACACCCAGGGAACACCAGGGAAAGACTGACACCACCTAGTGGGACACCTGAAGTCCCGTGTTTTTATGCCACACTTCATGGCACCAGCAAGGACATCAAGCTCCCTTCTCCAGTCTGTCTACCATGTGAACCAATACAGGCTGCCTCTGGGGTACCAGCATCACTGTACAGGACTTTGGCACAGAAAAGACAGCTCTGGATCCTTCCAGAGCAACCACCATACCCAAGAGCCAGACTTCCCAGTCCCTCACTGAACTGGTTCCTTACCTTCAACTCTCTATCTTGCTGCTTGAACTCCTCATCTTCATCAGAGTCGCACTCAGGAAACTGGTACACTTTAATGCCAAATTTGTCAATCTCTTCCCGGATCTGAGTCCATGCAAAACAAGAACAAAAAGATGCCCCACTGAACAATACAGAAATTATGGGTTTAATATCATGGATTTGCTGTTGCCTACAGATGGGGAAGGGATTTGATGCTTCCTGTAGAGCCGGCCTCTCCGAAGACACCACTTCCCTTCTCACGTTTCACATGCTGCAATTAGATCTGCAGATACTGTACACACACACACACACACACACACACACACAGACATACACTATCTGTCTTTACATATTTACTACTCTCCCTCTTTAGCACATCCCTGCCACCACATCAGGTATGTGGCCAAAGCACATCTCACCCTTTCTTTTAGCTTCCGGATCTCTGAGGGGATCAGGCAGTCAGCTTTGGCAATCAGGGGTACAATGTTAACCTTCTCATGAAGAGCCTTCATGAACTCGACATCCACAGGCCTCAGCCTGCAACAGGGATGAGGAGAGACATGATTGGCAAGGACATGACAAGCAGCTCCCCCCTCCAGCCTCTTCCACATCACCCACCATCCCCAAAAAGAAGGGAAAAGGACAGTACTGTCACGAGAGTGGGGGGCAGCCTTCAGCTAGGGCTGCATTTGCAGGAAAGCTGTCTCAGACTTCAGATGCTGACAGTTGTTGTGCAGACAGAGGCTGAGTATTCCCCTTACAGACTAAATATTGCCCAGGTCACAGCCCTGGCCTCCCACCAGCTGTCCTCTGTCGAAGGCAGCCAGCACATCTCCTGCAGCTGTTCTGGACTAGGCTGGCACGCAGGCCAGCAGGGCCTGGCAGGGATTGAAGGCAACTTAAAATTCTCTTTCCTACCCCTTGTTCAGGCTCAGGTGGATAGGAAGACACTGTGTGGCATTATTTCTCCTGATTTCATAACCAGACTGCAGACCTGAGGGAGATCAGCTCTGTCTGCTAATGGGCAGTCTGCCTTGTCAGAGAGGAGGAAGGAGGCTATGCTTGTCAAGGGGCAGCAGCTGGGTGGTTCTCCATCTGCACCAACAGCCAGACAGCAAATGAGCAACAGAAGGGCAACCCAGGGGCACAAAGGTCTTCCCTCCAGCCTGAGTCATGCCCCATCCCCGGAGCAGCTCTCACCCATGCCCAAAGGGCGAGATGAAGTAGAGACAGCAGTGCACTCGGTTATCCTGGATGTTCTTTCGGTTCAGGCCGCTCTCATCACGGAAGTACTGCTCAAACTGCTGGTCGATGTAGTCAGTGATGGGCTTCCAGCTGAGAAGGACAGTTCAATCAAAACCAAACCATGTGTGCAACAGCATGCTGTCCCTAGGGACTATGGTGCATCATCCCATCCCCACTGTCAGAGCCCCTTTCAGTGAAGCATCCACAGAAAACAGATGTGGTCAAGTTGCAGCCTGCTCACCATTCAGTGTTATTAACAGCATCTCCAAAGCCCGGTGTGTCCACTATGGTCAGCTTCAGCTTGACACCCTTCTCCTCAATGTCCACTGTGTGTTTGACAATCTCCACTGTCTGGTTGATTCTCTCTTTGAACAGGAGCACATGAGTTAAAGCCCTGCAGTAATGGTGGGGGTTCCAACTCACACCCGCAACAGGCTGGCTCCCCTTATCACTGAGCACAGGGAGTAACAGGAGTTTCAAAAAGCCCTGATCGTACTCAAAGGAGCCTCAGGGAAGGTGTAGCAGGGAAGGCTGGCAGCAGGCAGAGCTCTGACAAGACACAAAAACTGTCATGCTGCTTGCAGCCCAGATGTTCCAAACATTTTGTCCAATCACTTGGAAAGGGGAATCTCTACTGCACTCCAACACCCAAGAACAAAAGACAAAACTCAGCATTTCATCCCAAAGGGATGGTGCTGCTCTGCAGCCTTATCTTGCCTTCATGGAATTGAAGAACCGTACAGCCAAACCATTTTTGCTGAAATACTAGTAGTGCCTCGACAGCCAGCAAAGGAGACTACAGCAACATGGCCAGGGCTGTGATCAGGCCATGCCTGTAGCTGCTGTTGAAGCAAGGAGACAGGCCCTAGGACAGGGTGGACCTATGGATACAAGGACCTGTTTACCCCCCCTCCCCCTTTGTCCCCAACTTACCCTCTGCATTGAGGAGCTTTCTGTCTTTGTACAGATCTGTCAGGAACAGGCTATTCACGAGCGTGGATTTGCCCAGACCCGACTCTCCTAATTGACAAAGTGCAAAGGGAAGGAGGGAAAAGCAAGCAACGTGACCCACTAATTGACTTACAAATAAAATTCTGAGGCAGAGGAAGTGAGAGATATGAGCTGTCAAGAGCTGTTTATGGGCATTACATTTTTCCAGCAGTGGGAGGACTTTTGCTGCAAGATGTCTCAATCCTCGTATAAACATGCTCTTGCAGTTCCTCCATCCTCCCTTCTCTTCCTCTCTCCCCCTCAGTCCCCATCTGGCCCAACCTTCACCACCCAAACCAACTCCACTGGGGGAGAAGCCACGCTCAGTGCCCACGCTGTGTGCCCACCATAGGGCCCAGCTGTCCCACCACGGGCAGCCTCACCTGCAACCATCAGGGTGAAGTCGAAACCCTTCTTCACAGATTTCCGGTGGACCTGGTTCGGCAGAGTGGCAAAGCCCACGTACTGCTTCTCATGGTCCTGCAGGGCAGAGGCGGACAGAAGCAGGTCAGGGTGTGCCACCGCTCGTGCTCAAGCAACAGGGAGTTGGATTCAGAAGAGCTGAAAAGCCCCGAGACAGAGCCAAGGGGTGGAGGAGAGGTGGGTCCCTGCCTTGGCAGCGGTGTGAGGCATAGCACACACATCCTCAGGACTCAGGGACCTCTCCCAGCTCACAGCCACTTCCCAGGGAAGAGGTGGACTCACCATCCCTGGAGGCATTTAAGAAACATGGAGATGTGGCACTTAAGGACACAGTTCAGTGAGCATGGTGGGGATGGGCTGTCAGTTGGACCTGATGATCCTAGAGGTCTTTTCCAACCTGAAAGGCTCTGCAATTGTATGATCTGTGCATCTCTCCCCACAGAGAGCTGTGCAGCTGGACTCTGTGATTAGCGCCCCTGGGCTTCTGAGCAGCCGAAGGCGCGGTGGTTCGGCTTCTGCTTGAGCCGAGAGGGGCTTATTTCTTGCTCTGCCACAGCCACTCCTGGCTGAGTAAGAGGTAATCCTGAATAATCTCCAGTGTTATTTCTGAGGAGATGGAAGCTCAAGGAGCACAGAAAGTGAGGTGATGCAAAATTATTCAGTACGCTGGCAAGGTGCCTTTGGGGAGGGTATTACATACGGTATTGCCAGAGAATGAGTTCTTGCCCCACAGTCCCCACTCCCTGAGCACACAAAAGCTGCAGCCACCCCACAGAAACACTGTGCTTTGCACAAGGGCACTGAAGGCACACAAGGAGCAACACAGACCCTGACAAACTCTTCCTTTCTTGCATAGTTTTGAAGCCAGACCCACAGCCCAGAAAGGCCAGAAGGAATGGAGCAAATGAACTTAGGAAGAAATGGGGACAAATAGAAGCTCTCACACAGCCAAGCTCTTGTTTGGGCACAGGGAATGGACCTGTGCTGACTTTTAGCAGCCTTGGAAGAAAAACTGTCTGCTTTGTCCAGAGACTTTACACGTGAAGCAGCACTGAGCACAGACCAATAACACCACGGCAGAGGCTTGGGGTGTGTTGCTGTTCTTCTCTTTGTTTTTTTCAACTAAAAAATGACTAAATGCTGACTAAAGGCTGACAGTTGAGATCTCTGGTGCAACACTGCTTACTTCAGCCAGGTGTAACTGGCTGAACCTGATCTCTTGTTTCTGTTCAGCCCAACCAAGAAAGCGTGGATTTACTGTACTGCTGGTGCTTCCCCATAGCTGTGTAGAATCAGGATGCTTCATGATAAATGCAAATCCCAGCTGGCGCAGGATGCTGCCCTTTTCCTGTGGCTCAGGTGACCATTTCCTCTGCAACAAAGCAGGGCAGCGCTGAGCACAAGCTCAAGGGTAGAGCTTCCCTCCCACGACAGGAGGCAGCTGGAGCTGCGGGGGAAAATCCATCCCCAGCTCTGTCTCCCCCACCCAACCAATGACCATCACGTGCACAGAGCAAAAGGTGAGAAATGCAGGAGAAACAGTGCGGAGTGGTCAACTCTATTAACAGCCCTCCCCTGGGAAAGAACACCTCGGCCCCTGCACCACAGCCAGAGCATCCCACGGTTCACGCACCTCAGCTTTGAGACACAATGCATGCTCCATCCAGGCAAGGCATCTCAGCCAAAATCAGTGTGGCACGTAAGGAGCCCCAGTAACCTCCTGAGCCTGGTGCTAGCCTTGCTCAAAGCCCCACGTCGCTCAATCTTTGTTAGTACTCAACATGGATGCTGTCTGCAGAGCCACCGTGCACATGATGGAGAGCACCGATGGGAGCTGTGCTGCCAGCAGCCCTCCTCGCGCTGCCTTTGTCCCATGCCTGGGGACACACTGCATGCAGCACAGCAGAGCCCACCAAAAGATACTGCTGACGTTTGGGAGCTTGCTGTAAACAGAAACTCCCCACGCCAAGCAAAACATGTCTGCAGCCTCCTTCAGCACGCTGCGTCCCTGCATCCTCCATCACCCAGGCAGCCGCTCAGCTCCCGGCAGGCCATGCTCTCCCTGTTGGTTCGAGCCAAGGAACCAGAAGGTTTGAGCCCTGATCCTGCCTAGGGCAGAGATCCCCATTACCAAGGTATTTGCTATCCTACAGCCACGGAGAGAGGCAGGTATGAGAGAAGTCTCCATCACCCCTGAGTCTTTCCTCATCTCCTTTATGGCTGTGCTATTCAGAGAAGCAGACATCATGCAACTTCACCATTTATTCTGGACATAAATGAGGCTTGCTGAGTGCATCCCAAAGTGCTAAAATTAAACACCACAGGACCACAGAAAATTTGAAGAATGGCCCCCACTCTATTTCTGGAGCTAAGCCTGCAAATGAGGAAGGCTGTGCTGGGATCCTGACGATGCCCCCGGCTCAGCCAGGCCCTGAACGCCCAGCTCACGCTCACTGCACCGCGTCACCGCGCTGCCAGCTGCAGGGCGGCGGCTACCGGCTCAGGGAAGCGGGGAAAGCAGAAGCCGCCCGGTTCCTCTCGGCGGTCCTTCCTCCGCACGGCCACCACATCCGCATCTGCACACGCCAGCACGGCCCTTCGCCTCAGCACAGAGTGCCCTTCGCTTCCTTTCATTGCCAGAAAGCCGATGAATTCCCAGCCCCAACAACCCCGTGTACATCTGCCTCCTCCGGCCCGCTGCTACGTACGAGAGACCAGCAGAGCTGCTCGCCCACCAGCGTTTGCCGCAGAAATCGAGCTTGCAAAGCGCAGCCCGAACGCGGCCACGCAAAGCACGCACACCGCTCGTGCCCCGCGCTGCCCAGGCGCGCACGCCATTCCGAAGAGAGAATCGCCGCACGAGATAACGGCACGGAAACGGCATCCCCAGCCGTCCGCCCGCCCTACCCAAGGGCTCCGCTCTCCCCTCCCCTCCCTCCGCCGCCCCCGGCCATCTCCTCCTCGCCTCCTTCCTTCCGCTCCGTCGCTTCTCGCAGGGCTCCCGTCGCACAGCGGCCGGCCGCTCAGGCACCGCGCTCCCCCCGCCCGCGTGCCGCTATAAATACATGCTCGTACCTTCAGCTTGGCCGGGTGGCTTCGCTGTGCCTGCGTCCGCGGGGAAAGCAGCCTCTCCACTAACCGCTCCTGGATAATGAGCGAATCCATAACCGCGGCCGGCGGCACAGCCAGCCACTGCGGGCCGAGAAGAAAAACACCCAACCCATGCGTTCCCTCCCAGCCCTCGCTAAACCCATGCGGCAGCCCCCCGCCCACGGCCGCACACACGCGCAGGGCGGCTCGGCGAGGAGCGGCGACGTTTGCGGGCTCCCACGGCAGCGCCCCGGGACTTGCCGTCCCTCCGTGCCGCGGGAGGTGCCGCCTGCGGGGCCGGCACTGCACGCACCGCCCGCTGTCGCTCCGTCTCCGTCCCGCAGTTTCGCGCACGACGGCTGCCGCCCCTCTCCCGGCTCCGCTCATCCGGCCGGAGCGGCCCTCGGATATCCCGACGCGTGCAGAAGCGTTGGGCTCCGAACGATCAAGAAATACCTGTGCGTTTGATAAGCACGCGGATCCAGCAACGGCTCAGCACAGAAAAATTGTGCAACCTTCAAGTCTGGGAGCCTGCAATATCAGATCTGCAATTCATCTTTTCTGTGCAGCCACAGAAGCTGCAAAGGAATTTATCTGAAACAAACAAAAGCTTATAACCTCATAACAACACGACTCCAGGAACTGGGCAGTAAATTTTCTGGCACGTAGAATGAAGTCACACAAGACGGCGGTGCTGGATGAACCTGCAGCTCGACACACAGGTTCCTGAGCAGCTCCTGCCCGTGAGCAAGGAAGAACAAAGGCTCTGCTTTACACCACTGCCCATCTCCTACCCGCAGTCTCTGCTGCCTCACTGAGAGCCACGGCCTTCTGGCAGCCACTGCCCAGAGCGCAGCATCCACCAGGGCCCACCCCCCATGCAGCTGTCACAAGGCTCTGCCACAAAGTACTGAGATACCTGGGAGCTGCTGCAAGAGCAGGAAGGTCTCAGAACCTGGGTTTCTACAATACTGTCTTACAGGGAGGGGAGGAAAATGGGGAGAAAAGAAAACGGACAAAGTGTGTTACCTCCACTGCCATTCTGCAAGCTGAGGAAAGGTGACCTCAGAAGTTGCAGTAAAAGGTCCTAAAGGCTGGGAAATGTAAGACAAAAACATGCCAAACATCAAAGAATGCCATCAGCATCCTTAAATTCCACTTGCTGGATTTTGTTCCCAGTCATTTCTGAGTGTAACACTACTCAGGAAACCTGGATGGAGATCTGTGTGAGGCAAAAGTTGCCACTTCTCAGAACAGGCACCTGATCCACCTCACGCGACAGCTCTTCCCTGCTGTGAGGTGGGGACGTTATCTGCTCCCTAAAAACACTTACAGCAAGCAGTGCTGTACTGCTCCCAGCTCAGCAGTAGGTCAGGCCATGCTCATGACACCTTTTTTCTCTCTTAGATTCCCAGTATCTGATTCTGCTTCCCTGCCTGGAGCGCTCCATCACCACGGCCTGCAGCTCATGCACAGCTGAGGAGCAGCAGAGATTCCATGCTCTGTGCCAGGCAGGAGGAGCGATGGCTCGGGGACGCAGAGACGCATTCAAACTCACTCTGACAACACAGAGGTGTCACATGGCCTTCCACACTGTAAACCACAATAGCTGTAACCAAACCCTTTCCAACCTCCATGAGTTCTCATGCTTTGAAACACGCTTTCCTGAAGACCGCAGGCCACACGGCCACCAACCACAGGCATCTGTCAGCCTGGGCACAGGGAGAGCACTGCGTCCTTGCGAGCCTCCCGCACCCAACAGGAGCATTCCTCTATGGTGGGATCATGGATGAAGTCAACATTGATTTGGTTGAGACAAAACCACAGGGCCCTAGGAACCATGCTGACAGTGCAGACAGGAACAAGGAGCTGCTGTCTCCCACAGCACACGCGGCTCTCAGGACTGGCAGCCAGGGAGGAATTCCAGCTAGGACGCCAAGCCCGGGAATGCAGAAAGCACACTGAGAAAAGGAACCCAGGAAGGTAGCTCTTGGCTAATGAGGGCTTTCAAAATGCTCAAGGAGGGCTGTCTGGTCTGACTCGGCCTCCTCCACCTTTCCAAGAGATGAAGAGCCAAGGAAAGAACACACTTCTATCACACTGATGTACTGCAGGGCACACCCACAGCCACAGGCTCAGGTTGGTCCACCTCCCAAAGACAGCTGAGCCAAGCCTTGTTTTGCCTCTGCTCCTTCTGATAACCCCTACCTCCCCACGCAGACAGCTCAGCAGGGAATCTAGAGCAAAAACAAGCGCTTTCTTCCTTTGGCTCCCAGAAGACAGCTTGGTGAGAGCCCCTCTGGGCAGGGGACACAGTGTGAGGGAAGAGCTGCAGCTGGGCACCAGCATCACTGTCCTACGTTCTTCTTTGTTACAGGGGATTTCTAGCCTGCAGGGCTGCAGATGGGCCCAGAGGAGAGAAAATACATTAGTTCACAGCATTAGATGTCAACTCACAGAAGGCAGAATTCACCACTGGGCAGCATAGAAATGCTCCTGGAGAGCAGCACATCGGCCTCACATCGGCAGGGCACAGCCCACCATCAGCCCAGGAACAAAGGGCAAGGAGCTGTGCTCCGCCAGCAGCACTGAGCCATGGCTGACGCAGGGCTGTGCTGTCACACCGTCAGCAGGGCTGGGAGCGAAAGAAGGTTTCCCGGCCGCTGCAGGAAACACGCAGCACAGCCCAGGGGAGGCACGGAGGGACGGCGGCACGCAGCGCAGCGCTTTGTGCAGGCGGCTGCAAACGTGACAAGCGAGAAGCAGAAACAACGCGATGATGGGCAAGGAGAGAACAGCACAGATCAGAGATGGGGCGGGGAGAAGAAATTCTGTCCTTGACTAAATACACATACGGTGCTGGCTGGGCTCCACCCACAGCGACAGCCCTGCTCTCGGGGCAGGGAGGCCTGCTCTCTGCGTGGCTTTTCCAATGAGTTGGCCTCAGGACTGCTGTGCTCTGGCTCTGCTCTCAGTGAGCAGCCGCGATTGCATTGGGGAACAGGTACCTTCAGACCACAGAGGGCTGTACAGAGGGCTGGTGAAGCTCTGCATATCCACACCTCCACAAGGTCAGCATGGTCGCATCGTGACATTTGTAGTTCTTCCTTTGAAGCAAAGCTATTTGCAGAACTCCCCACAGAAGGAAAATTCCGTTCCTGGCTTCTTTCTACCAAGACAGGACAGGTAGTGCCAGAGAAGCAGTTTGTTTGTGGCAGGAGGATGCTCCCCACTCTGATCGCTGCAGTAGAGGCAGAAGAACTGCAGATGCCACCCCTGCAGGCAGGGCTGAGTCCAGCTGTGGTCCTGCTGCCTCCTCCTGTGCCTCTGTCTGGCTGTGCAGAAAGTCAGTGCTGGCCGTGGGCAGGTAAATCTCACGGGGTTCGGACTGCTGCTCCATCATCTGCATAGCACTCAGGCTCACCTGAGTGAGAAAATGCCTTGCTGATCTAACCTCTGATGATTAAACCTTGAACTTACAAGCAAAACTCTAGGTATGTGGTCATGGAGAGCATCAGAGCCCTGACGCTCCGGCCAGGCTTTATCGTTTTATGCTCAGAAAAAAGCAGGCCAGCATTGCAAAGTTCCCAACACACGGGCTTAATCTCCTGCACACAGTGCCATGAGCACAATCAGCACAGCAACCAAATTTCCTTTATTTTGCCAGCCTCTCAGGTCAAACTTCACTTTTTACTCAAGGAGCGCAGCTGTTTTGTCATGTAATCCCTCCAGAAATCTATCAAATTGCATTTTAAAGGTATTTGTGCTCCTGCTTCCACCTGAATTGCCCCAAGCTTCCCAGGAGGCACTGTGTGACTCCTCCACTTCCAGCTCTGAAACAGGACAGCGGTACAACAATTCCCATTTGTTTAAACTTCTGACTCCCTCTGGAGCAAGTTCACAGCTTCTGTCACACCCAGCACCTCTGATCACTGTTCAGGATCATCTGAAATACAACTAATTGGACAGAGGTGGAGGAGGTGCAGCCACTTGCAGGCAGAGCTCCCTGCTGCTGTACACGTTCCTGGCAGGGAGAAGTAAGCCTGCAGACAGTGGGTCCCACAGAGGCCGCCTGGGGTCACCACCAGCCGCTGCCCTGCCCACGGCCAACTCGCTATCAGTGTTTGGATCAGGCTTGCAATTGGTTGTGCTTCACGTAGGGTCACAGGCACCTTCCACTGCAAACACAACGAAGACCTTAGCAAAGGATGGGGGTGACAAATTTGACCCATTCAGACAGAAGGAGAAAAGAAGCAGCACAGAAGGGCTGCAGCACTCCCTCAGCACTGCTGCTGTTTTTCTTTCCTTCTGTTTCCACCAAATCTGCCGCATGAATCAGGCTGACATAGATTCCCTCCCTCTCATCTAAAAGCCACAGCTGGGAAAAGCAGAGGCAGTGCTGGGCCCCGCCTGCCCCAGGGAAGCCAGAACAGGAACACTTGGGAGAAAAACAGGTACATCGTGTCCCATGGCCTAGGAATGGCTGGGCTGGGAGCCCTGTGGAGAGAGAGAGAACGGAAACTAGTGGTGACATCCTCAGAAAGAGAAGGGCACTGCTTCTCCAGCTCTCAAGTTATCCATCCAAATGCCAAAAACATCAGCAGTTTGGAAAGCTCGCGATGCCCATTTACATGCACAGACAGCAAAAATTTCAGGACAGGATCCTACAGAAGGTCCACTTCAGAGTTATAGGTAGTGGTCCCAATCCTGCTATCCTTACTCACCGAGTAGTCCCATTGAAATAGAGACGACTACTCATGTGAGTAAGGGATGCAGGATCAGGCCTGTCTACCAAAGAGGCTGAATCCTGAACCAGAGAGGACATCACGGCCTCCAAACATCATCAGACACTCACCAGTAGGGCTGGTCTGAGGGCATGGCTGGGCAAGGCAGTCTGAGCACACCGAGCGGGGCCCTGCAGAACAAGCAGTGGGTATCAAAGGGAATCAGGCAGGAATGCTGCTGGTTCATCCACAATACACCCATCTCACTGATGCTCCCAGCCCTGCAAGAAGGTGTTTTAATCATGCTGACCTCCCAGAAGGCTCCCAAAATAATACTGGGAGAAAACAAGCCAACTGCCTTGGGACAGTTCCCAACTTCTTGG